ATGGAATTCCACCTTGTAATTATTTTCATTGCTCAATATTCTAAATGAATGTTTTTTTTTCGACAAATCATGCAATATGCTAAATTTCAAATGTATGATTTCCGATTTTGGTGTAGTAATAGCGGAGTTATCAGTAATCTGAGCTCTGCCCATCCTGTGCATTATAAATCGATCGCTTATTGCCGACGTTTCGAAGCTGAAGAAGGTTGTCTTGTAGTTTGATATCATGACAGAGAGCATATTGAATAACCATCAGTTCCTCTACTTTCAATAACTATTCACTAGTCGCAGTTGGAATATAATAACATTTTTAAAATTTATATAGCCTACATCCTCTACGAAAAGAATGTCCTTTTTATTATGCGATTCGAAATAAAACGAAGCTTACATACTTGATACTAATTAACCAAGGGATATTTTTTCATTCCAACCTACACAATTTGTTCCTCATATTTCCCCGGGTCGATTGTGAAAAAGACTAACTTGTGTTGGTGTCCACGATTGAATTTAGTGTCTGGTTACTTCAACACCACAGTATGTGTGCAATAATTAGAGCCTTTAAAGTTCTATTTCCACTGTAGATAGTTCTTGAATATAACACTTTTAGAGAGCTCCTTTCATGGAACGAGAAACCATGTAGGGTACGGACAACTTTTATATTGTGGACTTGATCAAAGGGATGTACTTTTTCATTCATAAAAAAGCGGACTATTCTACATTTATATCATCTCATATAATTTTCCTGTGGATCTTGCTTAATTTGCCAATTCTTGAATGCATTGAACCATAATGCTTTACCGAATTATCGATTACGAATGTCGTACGAAGATGCGGTCTAATGCCTACAAGAAGCGTTATGCCTTATAAAATTCTAATGAATGGCTTTCAATAAGATAAATGTATGAAATTTAATATGAATTGATTTGTGGACCACGGTCGTCAAACACCTTTATTGTGAAATAAGCACGTTCCAAATCTATTAGTTAAACTTCGTCAATGATTGGACGTGCCAAATTCAGGTGTGTATTTGTTGACGACATTTACCACGCCCTGATTTTCTCGCGTCAAATGACGTTTAGTAAATATTATTAAACGAAAGATCCCCGATCTCGCTTTATATTTGATGTTAAACCAGTAACAATTACTTAGAAACGGTGGCGAAATTACTGAGTAATTTGAAATGTATGTAATTTGTATTTTATACAGTATAGTACCTCAGCATCCATACTTACATTCTCAAGGCTAAAATATTCGTACACAAGGCGCATGGTGTCGCTCTCAAGTCACCAAAAATCTGAATTTGCGCCGACGTCGTTTGAAATTGCCAAAAAATGTATAACTTACTGGCTGTTTTATTAAATTCCCTATTTTTATTTTTACTCCAATTATATTTTACTATTGCAAATCGTTTAATCAGCATATATATATTTTCCACAAAATTTTAATAAATGTAATGGTTAATTGAGTGCTTTTTTGTTTATTCGTTTATGTAAATGTAAACCAATGAAATATTCTGTATATTCAATTTGTTATGATAATGTTATTATGATTATGAAATCCATACAAAATGGCGGCCAAAGTTTCATGATTGTCGTAGAAGTGAACAACAAGTACTTTCAAGAAAAAGGTTGACATTGTTTATGATGTTGAAAAGTCAAGTGACGCATATAGGTTTAAAGCCCTTGTTTTCAGGAAGTTTTGTTTTTTGTTGCCAATAAATATGAAAGATGCCAATCCATGAAATCACTTATTTTACGAAAAAGGGAGAAAACCATAAGCATGTACTACAGGCGACAGTTCTTCGATGATGCATCGAGTCTGGTGGTACTTGTCCAATATCTTTCATTGAAAACTTCCCAAAACGCCTTGTTTGCCATTCTAGCGGACAATTTTGCTGGCGCTATTTTGTCTTTACGTTACGCACGAGTAGATTGGTGATTCAGTGGTCACGCTACACAAAACTGTTTCCTTTTTTTTACTTTTTCATCCTGAATTTTCTGCCCTTGTTTTACGTAAATCAAGCTTCATCATTGGGCCTTATATATTAAATGCTTTTGTAATCGCCGTCCATCATTCGTGCATTTGACCCATGACGAAGTTGTAACGTTAATTCGCGGAAATTAAAAAAGGGTCATTTTTGTAACCTTTTCATGTCTTAATCTTTGTTTTGATTGCCATCGTTGTTTTGCAATTTTTTATATCGACGAAGGAAATTCTGTCCAAGTGAAAAAATACTAACAACTGGTTGCACATTTTACTATAGTCTGTAAGGAAACGAGAGACGTACGAGTTTCGTCTGAGTTTCGAAGCATCGTTTCATTTATGCAAATCTTAGAGGATATTGCCTGAAGGAATTATATGAATATAGAGACATGAATTCAAATTTCGATTGGTGACTATATAGCCATCTTTATTCTTAATTCTACTGCATAAATTTAATGTGACGATCAACCTTCGATATATCGTCGAGTTGGTCGAACTTCACTAGCTATTATCCTCCGCCATAATGCTTCAGTCGCCATAAGAGGGACCACTATATCATATTACACAAAACCCTTGTAAGGCTATTGGAGATTACTAGATGCAACGATTACCGGCCACTCAAGCCCCGAATTTTCCCACCAAAATGCCTGTTTTTTCTAGGCATTCCTGTTTACTGCATTTGGGGAAGGTACTTTTTTTCATTTCTCTCCACAACACTCTGTCTAGTCACTGATATTCAAGGCACAATGAATTTTTATTCGGGCTGGGATTTACGCATTACTTACCCGCTATGTTACACTCTGGGTAAAATCGTTGGCATGGAGATCGATCGGCCTGTGCTGCCATCATATTAGGTTTCAACTCTTTCGCCACTTTTCCACAACGCCACAAAATCGCTCGTTCAGTGGAATATTATTTATGCATTGGATATCTGAAAAATTTTGCTGTTTCTGGATCTTCATTTAATTTTATCATTGCGTGATGGGAATTTTGAAGTTTAAACCTCGCATTTATCTTACACAAGTTTCCTGGTATAATTCATAAATAAATGTAGAGCAACACGGTGGGTGGGATTCTCAATTCATATATTTCTATTTACAATATGGTGTATTGCCTGTCAGATGTCACAGATAAAACGTATTTGTCTTAGATGAATATCGCGTTATACGGTTACATAGGCTTATTGTAAGTCGTGTAAAAGGCCTTTGTTCCCCCGTCGCGTCTCTGCTAATGGTTGTATTTTATGGAGATTTTGGGCTCTTTAAATTTTCACTATTTTTAATGTGTTCGGCTAGACCATTTTCTGTGAAAATTTATTCAAATTAAGATCGCGTTTTACCTTTTCGCCGTTTTTCTTTGATTTTCCTTCAACTTTCAATACTAGAAAATCTCAGCAACTTCGTTCGTGCTTTTACAGTCATTTTAGTTAACCTTGTACAATAAATGAATCTGGCTGGGAAAATGCCTTCCGTCAAATCAATATGCTTCGCATTGAATGTATTAAAATACTGTGACATGCCAATGAGTGTTTACGACTTTTCTAATCATGTGGGGATTAAAAGTACGGCGTTGAAATTTTGAATGGCTGGTGTGGTCAGTGATCAAAGGCTATTTTTGTGGTCAACAAACTGGCGTCATGGCCACTTTTGCTTATAATCACAAAAATATCAATTTAGTAGATGATTGTTTTCTGTCCAAAGCCAGACCACTTAAGTGTTGACAATGATCAATGCTTTTTTTCTTCTAGTTCGTAACAAAAAGATTAAGCCGCTAATTTATTGAAGTCAACACACTTTATAATCAGTTATTTGAATATTTAATTAATGTACGTCTGATTGTAAATAGTAATATTGAAGCAAAACGACAGAACTTTGCTATTATTTATAAATATCAGTTTATGTGCTGGAAATGTTTTGAAAACCCTTATATTCACGATTTCTCTTTCGGGATGCATTTCTATTTTCCACTTTTCAGTTCATTTCCCGTTCTTCCAGTCGTTTCCGCTTTCTTCATTCCAGTGTTGCCCCTTTTTAACCTTTCGTGTTCATATGAAATATTATCTGTGCTTCGCAATTATGCATGGTGACCTGAGCCCCAAACAACAGAATCCAGGCCAATTGGAACATATTCTAAAGAGAACATAACTTTTGTGCCAAGCATCCTAAATTACTGAGTATATTCATACACAAACAGAAGTTCAAGTGTTAAATACGATTTCATTTTCGTATTATTATACAAATTTACGGATGCTGTTTTTATGGGGTTACCCTGTACAACTGTTAATGATGCTCTTACAGATTTCTGTCCATATGTTGCTTTCATAGTCTTAGTCTGTAATGTTATTAATTCAGCAAGGCGTGGGTGGACTTGTGATGGGTGGATTTTTGTATAATATGCACCACTCAATTTAGCGGTGTAATTATTCTTTTTATACTTTTTATTGATAGTAAAATACAAGTAAAATTATCGAGATTTTATGTGAGTTTACATTATTGATTTAGTCTCATACACCAAGTACTCTCGCCTGAACAAACCAAATGGCGACAAAATTTCGCCCTTGCAGATTGACCGGGTGTTAAGGTGCGACAGCTGAACTAACCCAAAATCCGTACACTTTCGAGTTATCTTAATTAGGCGTCGCGTTTGTCTGAAATCGCCCTTTTTTCCAGTTGGTTGATGTTATTTCAACTCTTGGAGATTCATTTTAAAAAACGATTGAAGAAAATACTGCTCAAGATAAGGAGCTCACATGCCCATCAACTTGCTTACAGTGTGTAATTAATACCTTGGATCGACATTGTCGAGGCGGAAATAACGATACGGTTGCGCTGTTTGTTTGAATGGCTGCTTTCCCACAGATTTATAGTATATTTGATCAAAAATTGTAAAAAAACGTGTCATCTGATTTCCACAGGACAATTTTTCTTCCACGTGACTTCACGCATGACCAAGCTTCAATTTTGTGGTTATAATAATAATCAGGACCTTGCTAAATTATCCTATCTTTCCTCGTTTAGGGAGCTTCGATCGAACCGCCCATATGTTAGAAATCGGTGCATATGGATCATTGGAAGACAGAAGATTCGTATCTGTTGATAACGAAGATCGATTGAAAGAAAGAATAGCTGATGCAATGATGGAACAATATTCTTCTGAAGTTGGGAAGACGAGGGATATCAGGTCGAAATCTGGTGGGTTGTTGCCTCTAAAATGACGATTTAAACTTAAAGAAATAGCATTTAGGTTTTTTTTGTTGTATTTTTTTGAAACGTTGCCATTTTGAAATATTAGAATCGAATCGTTGCCAATCAGGGATAAAAGGGAGTAACGTTTACTTTCACCGGGGTTTGATGACAATAACAATGTTGTTTGACGTTATGTGTTCTTTTGCCATCCCTCGCGTATTACTCTCGTTTATATAAAATACTTTGCCACTTATACAAAATCATGTGTAGGCCGTGCTTTTGTGGGGAGATACATCTATACCCCAAACTTGGATCATCGTTTTTAATCTGACAATTCCTGCCTTTATCCCAATATCAATTTCACTGTCTTCCCGCGGGAAAAGGTATTTAGATTATTAATTGTATGTTTTTCTTGTGTTATGACTAATATTTTTAGCTCGGAGAGGGGCTTATGGGAATAGTTTGTCTGTTAGACCACGCAATGGTCCAGTTAAAATCATAGTTTCAATATTGCTAAAACTACTTCGGTACAAGTATAATCTTGCATTATTAAAGTATTGAAAATGAACAAGGCCATTCGCACCTGTTAGGAATCTCTATGTAATATTAAATCACTGTCTTTAATCGGCGGATAAAAAACGCTTCTGGTTAGATTGAGTACAATGCAACATAACTTCAAACAACACGATGACATACAACTCTTGATCCCACGGGGTCATGACCCGTCCGTCTTAAACAATGCGGTCACTTTTGAATTTGATTTCAAACCAGTAGTTCTTTGAATTCAAATGACGTAATAAAGAGGCTTCGACGATGCTTTGGGTTCAAAAGTCACAGGATGCAAGTGCCTACATAAAGTTATTGACTTGCAAAAAGATGTGAAGCTAATGAATGGATGTCAGTCACCTGTTCTAAAGCTGCCTGTCATCGGCTGTGTCGAGTTAGTTAGTCCGAAAAGCGTTGGGAATGGCTCTATTCAAATACATGTATATTCGTATTTTAGATTTGGTGTGTTTTCTTTGGATTTTAAATTAATTTAAATTTATAGGGTGACTAAAAGTAGAGTTACCTTAACATGGACAAATAATATTGTAACTATTTCTAATTTTCTGTATATATTTCAAATTTATATCGTAATGTATATCATAAGCTTTTTAAAAATTAGAAAAAAATGGCAGATTATACACAAAAAGTAATTTCTTTTGCACTATTTCTATTTTGAAGTTCAGCATTCATTTCCAACAGTTTTTTAATCTCAATTTTTTTTGCATTCCTTGTTACAACTGAAAAGTATTCGAATTCTCGTCTTTTCGGTAGTATGGTTGTTCCTGCAACTTTCAAATATGACGAAACGCCATAGTACTCATGCGATTTGCACTTGTAGCGAGACACAACTGTCGGCTGATGCCAAACAAGTATCCTATTGTATATGATATTACCTTGGGGACCTAGAAACAACAAATGTTATTTTCCGACCAGCGGTACCGTAACAAAACTCAATTCATGCTCGATAAATATATGGATTTGTATCGGATTCCCTTGGTAAGATTCCTATTACAGATTGGAATGAGCGCGAGCGTGTGTTCAGGTGTCGGTCGCAATACGATTTGAATAGGCATTTTGGATCCTAAATATCCCCAAAGTTCCATTTTTTTGTCTATTGATTCATACATCCAATAGAATCACTCGTAACATTGATTTTCGTAAGAAAAAGCGGGTACTTTTGTACACAGGTATTCAACTTAATGCAAACAATTCAGTAAACCTCCCAGTGCGACAATAGTCCACATTTTGATTTAATTATATATATTCCAGTTCTGTTTCCGCCCTGATGAGAATTAATAAACCAATGTTCCACGGACGGCTCTTGAATAAGACGTTCGATTCCGTCTTATATCTTGGTGAGGACCAAGCTTCGAAATACATTCGCCATCTTTCTGGGCACGGGAATCTTCAACGCGATCTATTAGTAAATAAACACAAAGAATTTCAACCATACTATTTTTGCTATGCGTTGCATAATACACAAATACATAAAGTTATCTTGTTTTTATATAAGGTTAAAATGGAGCGTTTTGTTTATCAGTTCATTCCTCCTTTTAATTTCGACGTTATCAGGCTAAATCCCACCGACGCAAATTCGCGCCGTTACGCATAAAGGTAATCAATCCGCTACGCCGTGTCGTCCAGGTAATTCGTTTTGCCACGGATCTCTCTCTTCGGCGATTTTTGAGCCGCTAGACTTAACGACAACCGGCAGGCATTTGACATCTTTTTCACGGGGGTATTACACGCGTCTATTGTCATGGGACATCCGATTTAGCATCTTAACAATGTATTTTGGAAAATCGGACATCATGCTACCCACGAGGCGTTGTTTTTTGTTGAAAAGTTCTCAAAGAAAAAAATTTTCATGTCTTCTTATAAGCGAATGTAAAACGCCCTTTCTCTCAATATCACTTTCATTTGCCTAAATTTTTACATAGTAAAATGCACCAAATCAACTGCGAACTTACCGTTATTTATCAACCAAAACTAGTGAAGGCACACAGCATAGATTCGTGCTATTCCAACGCTAATTTTTCAAGTTTGTCTAGAATGCTGCATATGACCCGATGGAATAAATAAAACTCAAGCGCTTACAAAACGCATCAGAAATACCAGATGTGTCATTTAGGTGCGTGATACATATATCAAGACTAATATCATTCGTAGTATACTTCCAACACTGATTTACTGAGTTAGCGTAATTGCGAGCAACATAATGAACATGGTGGGACACAAGTTATAAATATGGCATCAGCATGGATGCGAAATAAGGTATCGCATTTAATAGGAGCTGTGTTACTTGAAATTTCACAGGCAAAATACACATTATACATAAGAAATGGTATTTTATGCAAATTCGAAAGCTGTTGTAGAATTTTTCAAATGTTTCAATATTATTATAAATAGCCTCACAGTTGGTCACAATGTACCTACGTAAAGGCAGACTGAAATTAGTTTGCAAATGACAGTGTCTTTATGATAAGGAAACACCCTATTTTGATATTTCCAACAAAAGCTTCAATGATTATCAAATTTAATGTATTTCACTTTCATGTTTAATAGTATATCTCGAAGACGACGACACATCACGTCTTGTAAAGATCACAGATTATCCTTCAGCTCTATGTCATCTATATCCATTTAACTAAATCTTGAAAAGCGGCCGCTTTTTGAAATCCAAAAGTTCACACAGATTTGGTTTAAGCTCCACGCCAAATCGCTTTCGTGCCCCGCTCGGCGGTCGCCATATTATCGCCCACGTAAAGGGTACTTTACATTACAGATTGAAGTTAAAACGTTACATCTTAAATCGCCCATAATCCCATTTAACTGTCTATGGGTAAAAGATACTATCGGCCGGGCATATTCCGAAGAGAAATGGGAAATTGAGACATTGTCCACGTGTGGCACAAGTTTGAATTAATCAATTTAAGCATTTTAAGGTATCAGTTTTTGATCGTTTTATTAAGCATGGGATATAGATGATCGCGCCGAAGTGGTGCTTAATAATGTATAAATTTGCGTTTGCTTTTTTCTAGTTTTTAACAGAATAATGCTCCATTTCTTAGATAATTCTCCTTTTCTTAGAACTTATGTTCAATCCATAGCACATACATCGATGAACCCTTCAACTTTTCTTTAAAATCCTCGAGTTCCCATGTTTTCCCTTTAATCGATTTGCCACGGTGTTCGGATAACATGTTTCCCGAGACGAATGCTTGTCAGAATGAGCTTGGCATCCCAAGATGTGAAGGGTGTACACATGCGCCGTAGCGACTAAAATTCCAAGTGAAATCCTTCGAAGCTATGGTTTTCGATAATTTGAAGTTTTGACGCCATTTTAAGACTCCCTGTGGAATTGTAATAGATGCTACTTGTTGTATCCGAAATATTGCCTTTTTTCATAGTTTTATTTTTTTGTACACTTGTTACATGGTTCTGCATACCAGACGGCAGCCACCTGATAATATAGGCGTGCGTAAAAAATGCAGTATTTTCACAATTTATCCTTATGTGCCGGAACTTGCTCACAATGGTTGTTGCGTATGATTTTTGGTTGAGCCACGTTTATACGCCATGCCACAATTTGCTATGAGACTGAAATGCCTATATTCACAATTACGTCTATTATTATGCTCTTCTGATTTTTTAAAGAATTTATTAAACAAGAAACTTGACAATTCAAGGTACCGAAGGGGATCATGGAATGTGCATATTTGGTCCGTGACATGAAATATAAGTTACATACTGCAGAAAGTGTATCATTCTAAATTCCCAGATTGCATTTAATACGTGAATGATAGCGAATCACAAATTTTATATTGACCTTTTCCCGAGAACGTGAAACCCAGCCAGTTAATATATCACACCTAGCGCTAGGGCTAGATGTTCGACCTCGACTCGTGACGACTTGGTCTTTCGTTGGGATGTTCGACCTCGACTCATGACGACTTGGTCTTTCGTTAGATGTTCGACGTCGACTCATGACGACTTGGTCTTTCGTTAGATGTTCGACGTCGACTCATGACGAATTGGTCTTTCGTTAGATGTTCGACGTCGACTCGTGACGACTTGAACTTCAGTTGTGTGAATTTCACTTTCGCATAGCTATTTTCCTGATCGTATAGACTTGATCTGCTTTAGGCTTCAACCTTTATTTACGTGTAATAAACCACGTAACCCTAGTACATCTTGGCATTCCAGTAGTCTTTTGTAACTTGGCTCAAAGAGTTTTGAGTGACAGTGCGCGACCTTGCTTCTAGAAATATCTCTCAAAAAGCTAGCTCGTGATACTGTGATTAGGCCTATCTGTTGACAAATACATCAGTTTTAAACTATGTTTTCCTCTCATTTTCAGATTCATCTGACATCGTAGAATTCAGTGCAGATATTGCGTCCGATACATTGTTAACTGTCGATCAATTTGATTTTGACACAGATAATATTCCGTCTTTAGAAACACCAGGAAGCACGTAGTATTCGTCTTCGTCAATATTTTTCTTACTTTCTCTCAAAGCCAGTGAATATAACTTTACTTTGGACCAGGCTCACCCAAGCCAAGTTACGTAATTATTTATTTATAGAATTATCCTGAATACATCATTGCAATATTAATTTACACTATTAAGATTGTAGTTTCGTGTCATCATTATGAAATAACACAAACCGGAATTCTATTTTTAGCATCACCGGGAAGCATTGTTTAAATTTCGAGAATTTTAAAAAATGTCTGATATTTGAAAAATTTAGTGGTGTTAAGTAAAATTTTAGTTTCCAAAAGTCTGTTACTGTATATGTCTTGACCTAATGTTCATTCTTTTCTCAGAATGTTTAAGAAAAATTTAGGTCAATTTAATGTACAATATTTAAATATACAAATGTGATTATCTTAATTTGTGTATGGTTTAACGTTAACCACGAGAACGTATCGGAATTTTTTAACATAATACTCGATTTTAATATTTTTTCGCGCTTGGATAAGCTTGGTCCCGGTATATTGTGTGTTTTTTATCTTTATTTTTATTTCTTAGTCAGTTTTTAAGAGATTTTATTTTTATTTGTGAAAGTGACGCAGTGAATCATTATGACGTCACATTCTTTCCACTTCGAAGTGAGGGTTGTTTGAAAGTCATGATTCAATGAAATGTTTATTTTTATTCTTGGTTGTATTAGTGCCTATGAATTCAAGGTTGTTGTATGTCGCGTTTGATAACATGGATGCTTAGGGCGGGGTTTTAAATGACGGAGAATCGGACAAACAGCTGTCGGATTTAAGGAGAATCGGCATTTTTACCCCTGATTGGAACTGAAACTCGTGGCATGTACAGTTTACTTACAGCATTGCGACGACCTGGTCTGACAGAAATAAGGCTTTCTGCAATGCAAAGTCGATTCTGCATAATTGAAAAAACTTCATTATCGATCACGTTATCATATTAAAAAATGTTTACAGAAAATTTTAGGCATTTTTACGCCCCGAATGTTGATAAAAACCGATTCGACCAAAATTTTGTTCTTTGTAACGATGCCTAAAAAATAATCTTATGTTGGAGGCATCACGCGATCACGCCAAGTATTTCTTGTTCTGTTGGCCTTGGCCTGTTTAATGCCACACAGTGCTATTTCAGAAATTTATTATATCGTTCCTTTTTTTTAATTTACAAATTACCCTTCTAAGTATGTGTAAAAGCAAATTGTGTTTCTTTCATATGTTGTAAGAGCCCTATCGGTGGCATTCAAATTCATAGTACCTGGCATCCTGGCTTTGATGACATGGCATGCCACATGCCCTGACTTTTTTGCTTCTAAATTTCAATGACGTGCGTGGCGATATCCAGAAGTTAATCGGTCTCTTGTAGCATGATCCATGGATATACCTTATTTTGACCTGTCCATTCATCCATGTAAGATACAGGAATGTATTGTTGTACATATGCTTTGTACAATATAGCAAAACAGCAAAACTAGAAAAATTATTTCAATTATAAATTTTTTTAATAAAAAAGGCGTAAATTGTATTTTGAAATTGTAAATTACGCAATTTATTTGGTTCAAACTAACCTTAGACAAAATTACCTTGCTAGCAAAGTAATACATTGGATATATGGTATTGTGCAATTCATTTGGCGTTCAAATTCGGACCTTTTTTTTTTTTTCTTGTGCACTCCAGTCATCTCAAATCGTTATTTTTTTGTTCAAATTTATTGTTTTTTATTATTTCTGTCAATTGCGAAAAAATTAGGTTTGTCGATGGTTATTTCAAGCCGATTACTATTATTTCAAGCTGGTCATTTTCACCTATAATAAGGAATAACTCGTAAAAAAGATTTAAAAAAAAAAAAAATATAGAATTGGTAGTGGCGTATCATATTAATAAAAGCAGTTTGTTATATTTTTTAAATGATTTGTTGTCTTCGTTGGCGATTTTCATGAAGAGCTATTTGATCATTTTAATATATTTGGAAACTTTCTTGAGCCATCTATGGGTCATCTCCGATCGTACAAAACTCTATCTTTTATGACATTGCGTAGCTAGAATACCTCACATTTAAGCCATTATATATACATATACCGGGTTTCTTTTTTTGTTATAACTGTAAGAAAATGATAAAGTTTACTGGCATTTGACGATATTATGGGGCATATGCGATAATATTAAAGAATTACAAACCTCTATCAGTTGCAATACTATTGGAGAAGCCAATTTTCTTCGAACAATTAAGAACAAATTTTATATTCTACTGTCTGAGTCACCATTGACATTTACATCAACTTCTGGGTGTTATACTTACAAGTTTAATCTATACACAACCGTAATTAAATTTATATAGCAGCCTTTAGGGAAGCACTTTTTGTCCGAGTGGAATCATATTATGCTCTTCCGTGACCCGGTTATGCAATTGTTGGATTGATCGGTCAATATGTATATGAAATATAATTCCTGTATAAATGTCATCCACGAGAAATTACTAGATCTAACTTTTAGTGCGCTTTCTATCCTGTCTTGTATTGGTGTGTTAACTTCTCCGTTGACGACTGTGTAGGTCAGGAGTCATGTGTTCAAACATACCCTTGTTACACCCATCGCTTTCTTTCAAATCTCTGACTATCCCCAAAATAGAATCTGCAAGCAGGTAATATCGCGTTTTCATGGTCTTACATGTTCTGAACATAATATAGAAGAGACATACTAGATCATGCTCGATATTAGTAGTCACTTGGACGGTTATACGGTCTCAGTTGGAGAGAATATGGGCAATGACGGAAAGTCAGCTCGAAAAAAGGATCTCAGCGGTGGCATTTGTCATTCATAATAATGTAGTCATTTCTAAACTCTCTCTTGTCAATAGCAAAACATATAAAAAATAAATTACGCCTGATAGACATGTATTATGTGTGGTTCACAGTTGGCTATACTTAAATCACGGTCAAAAACTCTATGGGTGGGGCAAGCGATCACTAAGAAATGTGTTTACATCTGAGTCAATCTAACAAGCGCGCGAAGTCGACGTCTAGAAGAGCATCGACCGTAAAAACATATCACGGAAATAGTGTTTAGTCCTAAACATAGAGTAACACGAAGCAAAAAGGAACTTCAAAACGGCAGCCATTTTGATTTTTTGCGCACACTAGTTTCACTATGTAACTATTAAAATAGGAATAGCCATTTTGTAAGAGAAAATTATTTTCAATTCCGCATTCTCGGTGTCGATGTCCAAGATACCGAGACTTGGTCCTAGGTGATAATTTTAATTTTTCTGCATACAAGATCAAATGAAAATTCTCTTTCGAGTAATTGTACCGTTTTATTTTTGTGCTCCTAACCCTTTTGAATGCCTCCTATACTAAATACAGCACTGGGAAATGATATAGCTATATTTTATTCAGTTTTCATAACCATATGTAACATATTTATTTCTGGTATATGTTTTCAACTTTGATGAGTGCTACAATAGTAATATATCTATATTTTTTGTATTTTCTCCCTTAATTTGATTATTGCTCTCATTTCGACCCATTTTTAATTTTATTATATTTGCTTGGGATATTGTAACCTGAAACTACCACACATGGAGCGATAATAAAGTGACATTATTCGCGGCCCATGCTTGGTATCTTTGCCATAATATTGTGATCTCAAGTACTCGATTTTATGAAATCCAAAATAAATTTGTCCTTGACATGGATATTGGATATTTTGTTTGCTTTGTACTTCGTGACTACGCGAGTTTGTTTCTGTGAAAACAAAGAAGCCATTTTCTCAACCTGCCCCATAAGTTGATTCAAGCTTTGTAGCAATTGCGTTTATCAAATACAAAAGTATCGCGGGAACGGAAAGCGAGGGTGTTGGGATACATATTAGACCAGGGGTTCTCAACCTTTGGTTCGCGAACCGAATGGTCGAACCTTTCCCTTTTCAGGTCTCGTTTTTTAAGTTCTTACAAACCATTGCTAGGGTAGTCCGGCAGATGACGAACCAGAGGTTGCAGAAGTTTAACAAAATGATTATTGATTTCGCTCAAATAGTTTCGACAGTATGTGAAGTGTATATATACATAAAAACTTATTTCAACGTGAGCGCTGGAAAAAAGACTACATGGCAGGATTGAAACAGGTTGAAAAAAGTACCCATTCCTCAACCGGCTTTAAAAATTTCCACTTTTTTATACGATCTGATATACCAATCAACAAGACCTGATTCAGAAATTTGGGCAGCGTTCGCGCAAAGTTCGCCATTTTGAATAGAATTGGGGATTGGTACCGACCTCATATTCAGGCATCGACTCTAAATAATATTTCATCTCTGTCAATAAATGCAATGGACGTTGATAAGCAAGTTATAAAACAGCTAGTTACTATCCTGATATTGCCTTATTCTTATTTTAAGATAAGGTTTTTGAGCATCAATTTCTTTCTAGAATGAAAGAAGGGAAATCCAGAAAAATTGAGCAATAATTTACAGGACATCTACAAACTAGTAAAAAATCGTTATTCGTCCGATTTTTTTATAATATTTAATTGATATTTTTATTAAACCTGGATCATCAAAAATGTATTAAGTATCAACTTTTAAGAAATTTAAATATTACGATCAATTTCTGTATTAAATTTCATAACAAATATGCGTCACTATTTACTTTCAAATATCAAACTTCATCAGATAAACCTCGTTTTGAAATAGCATCATATTGTTCAGTGTTTCGACAGAGAATATATATTGATAAATAAAGTGACACAATTATATTATAACAAGAATTTTCTACCCACAAAATGATTGGAGGCTAAAACAATATACGGTGTATAGAGCATTATAAGTTTAAAGTGTTGGAATTCTGATAAAAATTCATTCTACACTGTAGCAGATGAATAAGAGAAACCCAGGTAATTTGGAACATATTCAAGAAAGATCATCAACTTTTGTGCGAAGCGTCCTAGATTATTTTGGGTACAATCATGACAACCAGAAGTTTCAAGTATTAAAAATCTTTTATTCTCATTTTCGTAAAAGTAACTAAGAAATGTATGGGTCCTGTTTTATTTTTGCTGACCCAGTAGATAACTTATTTGTCCTGATAATAAAATTTTGTTACCTATGAAATATTTCTCATAACTTTGGAACTTTACGGTTTATAGTTGCTATGTGACTCAATTTATAAGGCACAGACTTTAATTGACAATTGTTAGGGAAAAAAATTCGGTAACGCAGGAATAATATTAAACCCACATAAGATGTCGGTTCTGATGGTGCATTATTTAGTTAACTGAGGACCCCAGAAACAGAACCCATAAACTTTTGCTTTTAAAAAAGAAGAAGGTATATGATGTTTGTGTATGACTGTACTCAAACGTTTTAGTAATCCAGGACAATATGCGTGAAAGTTATGTTATTTCTAGAACAGCGATACTCAACCTTTTTTTCTTTCGTGAACCATTTCCGTTCGCAAAAATTCTGCGACTCATTAACTTTTTCATGCTAGGGAAAAACTACAAGAAAAACAAAAAATTCTTTCTGCAAAAATAGACACTTACGCTTTATTGATACAAGTTACACGATTACCACCCCATAACAAAAAACAGCATCATCATTCATTGCTACTGCCATCAAATTTGACTAAATTTAGCAACAACTCTCGCAATTTGTAATAGGTCTGTGGCCCACCTGAAACGTTCCTGTGACCCAGTAGTGGGCCATGGCCCACTGGTCGAGAACCAGTGTTCTAGAATATGCTCCGAATGGCCTGGGTTCTGTTTTGTTGTGGTCACCCTGTGTGTTTCATATTTACAAATCCTTCGACCTACAAATCCCACTCTGGATAGATAGCAACTATCATTCAATACAATAATGCATGCCAGAAGTCGAAAAATGATTACGCCAAACGCACTACGAACCTTACTGTCTTTGAGCTCCTGCACAATCTAGAAAATCCTGTAGCGTATAACGCACAACATTTTAGGCGTACAAATATCTACTCTCACTTTCAGCACAATGTGCATTCAATCCAACTTAAATGATTTTTGACCAGTGCAAGTTAAGTATTCTATTTCATAAACACGAACACTAAGTGTAGAATTGCATAGCTATTTCAACTGGCCGTCTGCTAATTTTTCTCACGACGAAGCATAATTTTCTGGTTTATCCTGGTGACGCCACAAGACTGTAAAGCCTAATCCTAGCCGCAAATTTTATCAAATTTTAAGCGTTGTAATTAATAGGGGGGATTTGTCAGAATACTACATTATGTTATTTTTGGATTTACAGCTTAGACCCAAATCATGACTGAATCTCGGCAGGTTTTACTGAATGAACAAAAATTTAACATGCCTACAATTTTAATGCATATTGAAACATAAAAAAATGAAAACAATAAATTTATTAAATAATTTTCAACTTTTTTCCGAAGTTACAAATAGAAGAGAACGGTTCATGAAATTACTAATTAGTTGTATTTGGCATCAATGCTGCATGTGACTAGTTTGGATTGTTTTGTATATCATATTTTGTCATTACTTTGCACTAGGTTTTTCAGTTCAAGAATTTTTTATAACCTCCATCGCATATTGGTGTATGGCATTCTAGTGTACAGAGGGAGTTCCATAAACGCTCATAGTCTACGAAGAGCAAACTAGAATTAAATATAAAAGAAATTACTATAGTAACCGGAAAATTCAGATGGAGTATGAAAAGGCCAGAATGTAATAAACCTAATTAAACTGTTGGGAATAGAAACAACGACGTAGAATCCTGAAGTTGTAACTGTAGACGGAGCTGTTTGACCATTCAATCACAAGGTATATTATTCTGCTCAAGCCAAATATTTCTGGTTTTATATGTTGTAATAGTTAATTGTAATATCAACAAATAATGTAACCTAAGTTGCAGTTGCCTGCAGTTAAAAATAGACTGGATAACTGAGCACATGCTATTTTCTTACTTGGGATAGTTGGATGTTTAGGAATAATTTTTTGTTAGAATGTAAAAAAGGAACTTGGCTCAAAATTTTATAATGAGAGCTGAAAATCAAGCCCATGTTACACCGCAAGCAGGTTTGAAACTTAAAAATCAGTAATAAAGATATATGCAGTCTTGAAAAACTTCTGATACAGAGCATCTGACTTGAAAGATTTATTGTAACAAATATGGGTCTGCATTACGGGGTTGAAGGTAAGTCGACATTATCGCTTTTACGTTGTACCACTTTATACTAAACATCGAACAACTTCGTTGTCAAACCGTGCAAACCGCAAACTATTCAATAGTTTTGTTTTTGCTTGATTTTTCTGAATAAAGAACGCCATTTTGTACGTGACAATATGGCTGGAATCATGTTACTTTGTCTTCACTGGTCACAAGCTTATTAAAATAAAAAAAAATAGACAGCGATAGCCACGGAGATTTTAATTTTAAACGATGGACATATTTTTAATGTAGGGGATATGTAAACAAAAGCTTATATTTTTATGATTTGTTGTTGAAATGTGACATATGTATTACACACTTACAACAGGCAATTTTTTCTGTGTAACTTCTTAACCTTAATTTATTATGTCTTCCGGCGGGTTAAAATAAAATCGAATTCTAGTATTTCATGGTTTTCTTGAAAATAGGAAGCACAAAATATATATTGCGTTTTCCATACTTCAAATTATTACGACCTTCTCAATAAAATCCTCAAAATTTTTCGTTTGCTTCAATTTTTCTACGTGTTTCACTTTATTTTCTGCTGAGTTCGTTGAATCGAAAAATGAAATTTCTATTTGCCAAGTTAGATCGAATTATGTAGCGGGTCCGGCCGAACGCTGGAAAACGTGTGTTTCCATGAGTCTTGAGGTTCTAAATAGCGTTTCAAATTACGAAAAACTGCTATGTAGGATACAGAAAGATGCTTTTATTTTTTTTTACATTTCAAAAGGGGGGGGGGGATCCGACCCCCAAACCACCCCCTGACTACGCCCCTGTTTATTATATATACGGTATGAGAATCGGAATTTAAAACACATTTTTGTGCATAATAAAATTATGATAAATATAAATTTTTCTAACAGCTATAATTGAGAAAATGCTGTGGGAAATTGACGAATCCGCAATTTCGACGAGGCATATTTTACTACGAAACCCCATTTCAGCAAGTTACAGTTATAAGAACCGTTATTTTTATCCTTTAATCCAACCCTGATCCTGTCTGGTATTGGGGATATAAACATATTTGACAAGTTTACCTTTCTATTTTGAATTTAAATGCCGGATTACAATCGTCGAAATTTTACAGTAAAAAAAAATATGTTGTAAGGTATAACAAAGCAGAATTTTTTGCGACAAAAATTTCTTAACTAAATAATTAATAAATAAATCAAAATTGATCTTTTTTTTTTATATATAATTCTAACTATGAATACGAACGATGTTTTTTAGGGTGATGAAGGTAAGGTTCAAGTAGACCAGGTGGAGGGGGAGGGTCTTCAGGGGCCACATTGCATGCTAGGACTTGTGCCGAGGGCCGCATGCAATTTTTTTTATTTTTATTATTATTCATACTTTATAATATAATTTATAATTCATAATTTATAGCATATTTTTGTTAGCTGTAGTTTGCGTAACGTAATTTGAGAGCTGGACGTGGTGTCGTTATGTTTTTATTTAATAAATTACATTTTCATGCCAATTTCTTGCATTTAATTATTATTTCAATTAAATG